GGGGGGCAGAGCGGCTCCCACCTGGCCGTGCTCTGCTTGCCCTCTGCCATAGGCCTGCGAGCCCTGGATTGGTCAGAAGTTCTAGGGCACGAAGAACTAGGTGATATCTTCAAATCACAGCATGCCTTGCTGTACAAACCGCACGAGAGATAAAGAACCTAAGCATGACTCTACAGTTCAGCCTTTGACAAGCTCCAGGAACAACCGAACTTTGCTGAGGCCACCACCCTCTGCGGCCAAGCTGCGCGATTGGCATGCGAGGTGTCCAACGTCTCAAAACTTTGATCCAACAAGATTGCAGCGAATGTCACAAGAGATGCCCAAAACTTTGGCCCCATGCCATGCAAAGCACACCATGCAAAACCATCAGACCATCAGCTTTGACAAAACGAAACACCTGAAGCATCTTGATGTATAGAACCCAATGCTGCGCATTCTTTCTCATGCTGTGACAAAGAATCGCTGAAAACCGATGTGCGCCACTGGAAGTCTCGTTGATGCTTTTCAGCTGTCAAAAAACTGAATAGACGTAGCTGTCCAAAGGCACCTCATGTCAACAGCGTCACTGGATCTCCGTCTCCACCGTCGCTCCAAACCCTTATCACCAGGCTAGTGGCATCGGGGCCGTTGGTGTCCCAGTCGTAGGGTAGCCAGTTGAGCTGCACAGGCCTCGGACGGAAACTTGAGGCCACAGGTTGGTGACGAAAGCTAGCAGGGCCACTCCAGCAGCTAGCTGGTGCTAGCTTGCATGAAATCTACTCTACAACCGGAATGACTGTGTTGCAGAAAAAACAGCTACAAAAACAGGGATGTTTCTCTACGGTGGAATAAGTTTCACAAACCCAAATCACCCCCAACCATTTCAATCGGGGATTTTGCTTTGGCTGGCATGGCATGACATTCAAGAGTTGCTTAGACATTTTCCTGTTTCATCAACAGCATGCTACAAATTGATAAATTGCAGAACTGTAGTTGGACGTGTTTGGTCTGCTGGTATCCACTAGTGACGCAAGAAAAA